TAACTTTCCACCAGAGTTTACAGGCGGTGAGTGAATGCTGGGAAAAGGCATTTGAATGCTGGGAAGCAGACGAAGTATCTAATACAACAGTTCTCAAACTGCCAGTCGTGTCCCTTTTTGAGGTCGAGCGACTCTTTCACAGGGGTAGCCTAAGATCATCGGAAAACACTTATTCGTTGAAGTTATGAAAGAAAATAATTGTTTGGGGGCTGCCACAACATGTAGGAACTGTAAAGTGGGTCGCGGCGTTAAGAAGGTTGAGAGCCGCTGGTCTAACATAATTTTTTGACCAGTTATTATGAATATCCACATTCCAGAAACCAGATTTTTAAGTTGCTGATTTATAGTATTATTCCTGTTCTGTTTCTAAAGTAATTGTTTGTGTTAGCTACTGCAGACTCCCTTCTGGTTACCACGGCAAAAGGCAATATCATACATATTTTCTCACATTTTGTCCTTTAAAATGAGGTATGGGTGTAGTTTGTTTTTGTATAAAGTGTGCAGAGTAAGAAGTGCTCATCATGTATCAGATTCCATTGATTATTTCATGTACAGACTAATCTGTTTCATGACCACAGACAGTTTGGCTTCGGTTTTTTTTTTTTTTAAATGTAAGAAGGTGCCGGTACTCAGCAAAAAGTAGAACGGAAAAGAAACAAAATTATACCTAAAAAGGTACTGGTACTATCTACCCACGTTAGCATCTGTGGCTTAGGCATTGTGAATGCTCTTCGGGGTGCCGGGGTTCGATCCCAGCTTCAGGCTGTGATATCTGTGCCTTTGCCCTTGCGTTGGTTTCAACAGTGGTATTTTGAGCTGACCATGCAGAGAGCAGTAGCAAACTACTGAGTATAAAATGCGTCCATAGAAACCACAACAGCCAAAAAATACTGGGATTGTTTCTGCAATGTCTTGTAAAGGAAACATAATTATGTCTTCTTCTTTATCTTCTCTTCCACCATTTACCTCAGCGAGGTGTTGGGAGGAGATGAAAGGATCATTTGTTTGCTTTTTCCAATGCATTGTACAGGTTGGTGTTCGTTTCTTTTAGGTTGCTCATGATGATGTCACTCTATCTCTTGCGTGGTCTTCCCCTTGCTCTGTGTTCATTATATTTCTTCAGTGTGGCTCTCTGTGGCAGCAGGTATCAGGGCATTCTCATCAGGTGGCCAAAGCATCTCATTTGTTGCTCTTTAATGAACTGTATGACTGGTTTCAAACCTAGTCTTCTAATTTCTTCATTCCTGATTTTATCTTTTCTTGTCACACTGGCAGCTCTCCTAAGACATCTCATCTCTGTTGTTACGAGATGATACTAACTATGTAACCCTAGAAAAAGCCCTGCCTACAGCCATATGTTTATAGAATATTAATGCTCTTACAGTAGAAATGGTCCATTTTAATGCTTGTAGGTGTAACAATTGTTTTAAATGTTTGCATATTGTATACAACACCTAGCAGTGTGTGTTATGGGTTGTTTGCTATACAGCATGTGTAGAAAGTTATTATGGGTAATGTCACTACACAGGCATATGATTTAGTCTTATGTAGTTTTGGCACAGGTTACCATATATTGTAGCCTAACTTTATTTACCTGTGGTCCTAAGTTTTGGGTGACTAAAAGCCAACCGTATACATGGAGGCTGACCAATATGATAGGTATATCGCTAAAAGAATTCATAGCTAAATATCTTCAGGACGACTTGTGTATACTGCAGTTTACTGTACCTTAAATACAAAATAATAATCATCCTGACTGGTCTATTGTGCTGCTACTATTAATGTTGTGCATGCAAGCATGCATTATACATATGTTTATATCTGCATTCTTAGTGACTCAATGAATATGCTTAAAAAATCCAAGCTGGATTTATTAGGCAAGAATGGATTGAAACACTAAGCACTTCATGAATATCTGCCCTAACCTTCATCTTTGTGCCAGGTCATGTGGGTGTTCAAGGGAACGAGCGTGCAGACTATCTTGCTGACACTGCAGTTGCTATGGCTGGCCCAGTACTAGACAGAAGTGATGTTATCAATGCTATGCACTGCACTTACCGTACCAAGGAGCACGCCACAATACATGACTCCAAATCGCTGTCTAGACTGATGGACATGGAGGTGCAGCCTGGAGCTGCAAGAAATGAACATTTCACTAACGGGACAAGAAGTTTCTTTAACCAACATAGAACAGGCGTCATCAGTCGTTTTACACTTGTGGAGCTTTTGAGGAGATCGGAGAACCAATGGATCTGTCCTGAGTGCTGTGATGATAATCCTTTCTAATCAGTAATCACTATTATATCTGCTGCATTGAAGTTATGAAGGAAAATAATTGTTTGGTGGCTATAGATGGCCAAATGGCTGTTGTGGTTTCTGTAGGCTGCAGTATGTGCCGAGATATATTTATCCCTAACACAGGTCACCATAATGAACCAAACTATGTTGTGATCATGTGTATGTGTGTGGCTGTTGTGAATGTTAATGTGTAAATTAAAGTATTTACTATTCCAGAAGTGTATTCACTATAAGTAAAGTAACTGAAATGAAAATGAGTTTGTTTGATAAACCTAGATTGATTGGTGTGGGAAAAAAAGACAGAAAATGTGTCATCTCCGCAGTGAAGGTTGGCTGGAGTGAGTATGCAAATTTTTTTAATCTTTGGGAATACTGCGTGAATAGGACCCAGTCTCTTCAATGTTGCAAGCAATGATAACAATCTTTTATGACGCTGCCTGACTCCGAATTCAAACTCTGATATGTCAAGGAATATTATACATGTTCTCTAGCCTCTAAGCAGCACTCTGTTTCTTTTAAAATAATGTTTCTGTTAACTGTATATGTAAAGTAAAAGAAAAGGACTTGTGTTCATATGTGATTGCCTTGTTTAGTTCACTTTCATTTGTGATATATGTCTTGTTTGTCCTCTTTCATATGTTATAGTATGTGTCATTTTAGTCCTTTTCCACATGTGAAAGGGTCTTGTTAGTCTTCTTTCATATGTTCTAGTATGTGTCATTTTAGTCCTCTTCCACATGTGATGGTCCACATTCCTCTTCGATATTTGATTTATGTCTTTTTAGTCCTCTTTCATACATGACATTTAGCCCTCTTCCGTATGTGAAGAATGTCTTTGTATTCCTTTTCCATTTGTGATGTCTTTTAGTCCTCTTCTATTTGTGATTAATATCATTTTAGTTGTATTGCATATGTAATTCTCTTCCTTCCTCTTTGATATGTGACTAATGTCTTTTTAGTGTGTGATTGTCTTTTGGGTCCTCTTACAAAAATAATGTCTATTTAGTTCTCTTTCAGGTGGGATGAATGTCTGTTTAGTTCTCTTCCAAGTGGGATGAATGTCTATTTAGTTCTCTTCCAAGTGTGATGAATGTTTATTTAGTTCTCTTCTAAAAGTGATGAATGTCTGTTTAGTTCTCTTCCAAGTGTGATGAATGTTTATTTAGTTCTCTTCTAAAAGTGATGAATGTCTGTTTAGTTCTCTTCCAAGTGGGATGAATGTCTATTTAGTTCTCTTCCAAGTGTGATGAATGTTTATTTAGTTCTCTTCTAAAAGTGATGAATGTCTATTTAGTTCTCTTCCAAGTGGGATAAATGTCTATTTAGTTTTCTTCTAAGTGTGATGAATGTCTGTTTAGTTCTCTTCCAAAAGTGATGACTGTCTATTTAGTTCTCTTTAAAGTGTAATGAATGTCTGCATAGTTCTTTTCCAAGTGTGATGAATGTCTGTTTAGTTCTCTTTAAAAAGTGATGCCTGTCTGTTTAGTTCTTTTCTAAAAGTGATGACTGTTTATTTAGTTCTCTTTCAAGTGCAATGAATGTCTGCATAGTTCTCTTCCAAGTGCGATGAATGTCTGCATAGTTCTCTTCCAAGTGTGATGAATGTCTGTTTAGTTCTCTTCCAAAAGTGATGAATGTCTATTTAGTTCTCTTCCAAAAGTGATGAATGTCTGTTTAGTTCTCTTACAAAAGTGATGAATGTCTATTTAGTTCTCTTCCAAAAGTGAAGAATGTCTATTTTGTTCTCTTCCAAAAGTGAAGAATGTCTATTTAGTTCTCTTACAAAAGTGATGAATGTCTATTTAGTTCTCTTCCAAGTGTGATGAATGTCTATTTAGTTCTCTTCCAAAAGTGTTGAATGTCTATTTAGTTCTCTTACAAAAGTGATGAATGTCTATTTAGTTCTCTTCTAAGTGTGACAAATGTCTATTTAGTTCTCTTACAAAAGTGAAGAATGTCTATTTAGTTCTCTTCTAAGTGTGACAAATGTCTATTTAGTTCTCTTACAAAAGTGATGAATGTCTATTTAGTTCTCTTCTAAGTGTGACAAATGTCTATTTAGTTCTCTTACAAAAGTGATGAATGTCTGTTTAGTTCTCTTCTAAGTGTGATGAATGTCTATTTAGTTCTCTTCAAAAAGTAATGAATGTCTATTTAGTTCTCTTCCAAAAGTGTGTATTTATAGTTCCCTTTTTAAATAGCTCTTTTGTATGGGATTTTTTCTTATTTAGCCTTCTTCCATATGTTATTTATGCCTTTTTAATCCTTTCAAGTGTGACTGTCATTTTTAATGCTCTGCCATATGTTATGTCTTATTTTAATGCCTATCGACTTGTTAATGTCTTTTTTTGTATGTGGTCTTCTGTATGTGACCTGCTCACATATTTTACTTCAGAGATTCTAGGAAATGGAGAAAGAATTGTAGACTATTCTTTCAAATTCTTTATTATAAACATTGTTCCTGTTTTACAAATCAACGCCATAAGCATTGTTCTCTACAGGCTAGAAATTGTCTGGTGAACACCACTAAACAGAAACAACTAAATTCTTTAATAAAATAGCAATTTAACAAAACAGGTCAATTTAACACAATAAAAATTAATTTAACAAGGCAGTCAGTTTAACAAAAATAAGTTCAGTTCACAAGCAGGAAGGGTAAACATTAACAAGTGCTATCTTAAAGTTTGTGCATGATTTTCATTTCATAGAGTCCTTGGGGGCGCCACGTCTAGCTTGGATGCCAGATCATTCTGTAGATTGGATAAACAGGCGTGTCGTTAAAACATGAACATATTTATGCCTATAAAATATTTACTCTTCCTGCTACTTCATTGCTTTTTATTTTGTTACTTCTTCTTCTTCTCTTCCATCTTTTACCTCAGCGAAGTGTCAGGGGGAGATGTAATGTTTGTTGATGAGCTCTGTCAAGAGCACTATTAAGACTGATGTTCATTTCTGTAAGGCTGTTCTTAATGCCATCACTCCATCTTTTCCGAAGTCTTCCACTCGCTCTATACCCATTGTTACGTTTTAGTGTGGCTCGCTGTGGCGGATAGTACCAGGGCATTCTTGTTAGGTGTCCAAACCACTTCATTTGTTGTTCTTTGATGACCTGTAATTTTGTTACTAATTTTATTATTATTGTAATTTTTGTTTACTTTTACACACATGTAGAAATAATGCCGGCATAGCCTGAATAGGATAGAGGACAGAAGAAGAAGAAAAGGAGGATGAGGAAATGTTTGCACTAGAACAAGTTAACTCTTTCAGTAATAGGTCAGTTTTTTTTTACTTGACTATTTCTACCTTGAGAATTTCTAGTTTGACATTCTTCATGTGTTAAAAGATGTGCCCAAACAAAAATACACAAAAAAATTGATGTATGTCACAAGGTGTCTAACTGATAATTTGGAAAAATAGTTTATGTGAAAACTGTCTCAAATAGAAAAGGGTGAGGAAAATGTGGTCTTTGGAGAGAAAAAAAACAACAGAAAATGCCAAAGTAATATTTTTTTGGTACAGAAAGTGTGAAAGTAACAACTGCTTTGTGAGAAAGAGTTAAAGTAACACTTGGTTCAAAAATAGTCGAAGCAAAACTTGGTACAAAATTTTTCATAATAATATTGCAAAAATACTTGTATTCAAAGTAACACCAAGTACAGAAATAGTCAAAAGTAACACTTGGTACAAAAAAAAACAAAAAACTAAAGTAACATTTTGTACAGTCATTTGGTGCTGAAAGGGTTACAGAAAGATGGAGAGAGAGTGAGAGAGAGAGAAAAAGAGAAAAGGGGGAAGGGGGGGGGGGGGGTCATGCGTGGTCACTTACAGCATATTTCACTTGATTGACATGATAAGGGATGCCTCCAAGTTTGTCACATTTTGCTATGTGTTTCCTCTCCGGATCTCCTGCTACTAGAACTTCAGTCTCACCTTCTGCCTACAGAAAAAAAATAACATTAAAAAAACAGTGGCACTAGACATATCCATGCATTTCAGTCTATGCTTTTCTGCTTCAACATGTTTAAAAACCAGTGGTATAACATTCCAAGGGTCCCCTCAGGGATTTTCTATATGAGCTATCAAAAGAAGTGGGTTCCCGGGCCCTTTTGTGGGGAAAACAAGAATAGACCCACCCACTGCCTACCCAAAAGCATGTTGTAAGAGTCAACTAATTGGGAGGTTCCTTCGAAGTCAGACTGCATCTGCCTGAGAGGCAAGGAACCAGCAGTCTGCATACAAATGAGTCAGATCTGTAAATTGGATTCACACGCAACTCTCAGGGTCAGGAACATGGCTGTAGTCCAGAAGTGGATGAACAACCATAACTTTCCACCAGAGTTTACAGCTGGTGAACGCAAAGAAGAAGAACAAAGTTCAAAATAAAGAATTGTTATTTTGTTTTCAACAATGTCATCTAAAATAAGTCTCAAGGTAATTATGTCATATAAACAACTCCTTCCAGGTTAAAAACTAGCTTGTTCCTCTCTCAGCCTTGTCCACAAGACACAATCAGACAGGTTTGCATCCTTGAGAACATTAGGCGAGGAGAGTAGTGGGTCAAAGTGCCACCTGAAAAGTCAGACTTGTGTAGAGTCATAATCACGCTGAGCCGGGAATGCAGAGACTGGCCAGCAGGTGCCACATAGGTGGAAATTCAGGAATGCCCCGAGTGCTGTGATGTCGGTTCTTAAATCAAATCAAATCAGCCTTGTCCACTATCACTTAAATTTTTGGGAGAATTATTTTACAAAATGTCTAGGACATCATTGACAATAGAGTAGTTGCAAGCTTCACTATGAAGGTCACGGATAGTGAGCATACTTTGGATCTTCTCTCCAGACCATGCTGGCGTGGTGTGTAGAGAACAGGCAGACAGATTGGCTGGATTTGCACCACTGAGGGGTGAATTAATGCATGACAAGGCAGATGTGGTCAAGGCCATTTGGGAACAAGCAATAGAATCAGTAGAGACAGAAGATTATTATGGCCTGGAGAGAATGAGTCATCTGGGTGTAACCAGAAGGTGTGGCCGGCTCACTACAGTCAGAGGAAAGGCAAGACGGACATACAACCAGATTGTGACTGGTACCATTAGTACTGGAACTCTTCACTGGCTGCTGAAGATGAGGATGCAGCTTGTGTAAGAATGCCCAGAGTGCTGTGATGTCAATTCTTGGCTCAACTCAACTGACAATAGAGTAATTCTTCTCCACCTCAGTAAGACGGAGTAAGTGACTGCACAACAAACGATAAACACCTGGTGACACAAAGTGCAAGCATTTTGCATGAGAATCACCCAGGCTAAAATCTCAAAAGACCCGTTCAACCATTAGATTATATTAGGACCCCCAGTCTATAGCCAGGGTGGCACTTTAAAATAACCAAAAAAAAAAAAAAAAACCTGCATCCTATAGTGCGACGAAACAAATATTAAGATTTCAGTTTTGGCGGATTTTAATAACTATTTCTTTCTCCCACTGATCTGAGATTCTCCCTTCAAGGCCCTTTGGTAATAAGCAACAGAATCAGTAGAGAAAGAAGATCATTATGGCCTGGAGAGAATGAGGCACCTCATTGTTTAACCAGAGGGTCTGGCTGGCGCACTACATTCAGAGGAAAGGCAAGACAGACTTATAACAAGATTGTGACAGATACCATCAGTATTGGAACTGTGCTGGCTGCTGAAGATGAAAATGGAGCATGCATGGGCATGCCCCGAGTGCTGTAATGTCAATTTTTGACTCAACTCAACTTCCCCCTCTCTGAGCATATTTTATTAAACATATCTGTCACTTGATTTATAGTCATCTCATCTGCAGTAGTAATATCACAATCACCTGCTGGGAGCATTTCTGCAGTAGTAATATCACAATCACCTGCTGGGAGCATTTCTGCAGTAGTAATATCACAATCACCTGCTGGGAGCATTTCTGCAGTAGTAATATCACAATCACCTGCTGGGAGCATTTCTGCAGTAGTAATATCACAATCATCTGATGGGAGCATTTCTGCAGTAGTAATATCACAATCATCTGATGGGAGCAATTCTGCAGTAGTAATATCACAATCAACTGATGGGAGCATTTCTGCAGTAGTAATATCACAATCACCTGCTGGGAGCATTTCTGCAGTAGTAATATCACAATCACCTGCTGGGAGCATTTCTGCAGTAGTAATATCACAATCATCTGATGGGAGCATTCCTGCAGTAGTGATATCACAATCATCTGATGGGAGCATTTCTGCAGTAGTAATATCACAATCATCTGATGGGAGCATTTCTGCAGTAGTGATATCACAATCATCTGATGGGAGCATTTCTGCAGTAGTAATATCACAATCATCTGATGGGAGCATTTCTGCAGTAGTGATATCACAATCATCTGATGGGAGCATTTCTGCAGTAGTAATATCACAATCATCTGCTGCCTTATAGTTTGCTAGCTTCCTGTTTTCCTTCTCAGCATTCACTTGCTGTTAACTCAGGTGAAACTTTCTGGTTGTTCGTCCACTTCTGGACTTTGGTCTTGTTTCAGAACTTGATTTTTGCATGATAATCATTTAACAGATTGGCCTATTTGTACACAGACTGTTGTCTCCCAGGTAGATGGAAACACCTGATATATATTAAGCAATATTGATGCGATCAAAGGAGATAGACCCAAATACTGTCCCGCTGGTAGACAAAGTTGTCTTAAACAAAATGCTTGTCAATGGGCAGTGGCCCCCAATCGCAGTGGGACCTGGAACCCAAATGAGGAATTTGCTAACAAACTAACTGCCTCTTCAGCAATATTGACCTCTTCTACTTTTACTGACAAAACTATACATTACATACTATATATTTTGTCATTACCTGACATATGTTTCAGTAAGCCACCAAAAAATACGTTCAGAATATGTAATACGCACATTATATCATCACTATAGGAAGTGAGAAGCAACTACTTACAGGGTCGGAGCTCCTCAAAGTGTTGATCAGTTCAGTCAGTCTGTCAGAAAAACCTGGCGCAAAAGCTGATGGATCTATTGCAATGTAGCACTGACCCTGGTTTTAAAAAAAAAACAAAGAAAGAAAGAACAATATCTACTGAACCAATGATTTTATTTTAACGTTTTTCAGGGGTGGGCATTAATCAGTTTTTTAGAGGAGGAGGAATATTGAACATGACAAACATCTAACGAATTTTCTACAAGGAAGTTGAGTAAAATTTGTTTAATCCTTTTCTGGCCTCTAAGTGTGCCTATATTCTTTAAACAGCCCCCCCCCCCCCCCCCCCAACCCCTAAAAAAAAAAATAACTCGAAAATATTTTATTCACAAATTAACTCTACCAGACCGATGCCCGGCTACTGCGGTAATTTTTTAACGTGCCACTATACCATTGTCTCTATTTTTCTGGAATTTGCCTACAACGTGATAAAACGCGTCACAAACTAAAACAAAAAATGACCAACCAATCGTGATCAAACCACATGGTTAGTCACTGCGAATGGCTACCCACATGTATTTGATTTACTTTGTATGGTTTAACATGAAAAAATTATGAAACTTCACAATGAAATGAGCGGCTGATGAACCAAGCACTTTGACAGGAAAGTGAAGTAGGTCTAGGCTTTTCACAGTCCAACAGGTGATCAATACTTTGGTTGATTCAGACTCTGCGGAGTCATAATTTCATGAAGAATACGTTCCCAGCTGAAGTGACACAGTCAGTGAGAGCTTGAATGATGAGGAGAACCTTGAAATTTATAAATATAGAAATAGATCGATAGTAGGAGAAGGGGGTCCCTCAAACAGCAAAATCTGGTCTTCACTTTGTGAAACAAGGCTGATCCTGCTGGGTCGATTGGCACACAAAGTGGAATATTGGCGCTAGATAAAAGGTTAACCTATTTTCTACAATGTCTCCAAGTTTCGTCTTATTCTAGCCACTTGTTTGCATGTGACTAATATTTATGTATATTATATTGGTTTTCTCACGTTAATGCCCAGGAGCTTAGGTATAGGGAGCAGTTAGGTTCAGGACATCAGGTCTGGTAGGGTTAACTACTGTACTTATTACTTTATCTATATGACAAAGTGAGGACGTAAATATACAGTACGCCTACAAAAATAGAATTTTACAAAGAAAAAAATGTTCATTGTTTAGAAGGGAAGTCACCTTCCGTTATGACATCAGGTAATGTCACTTCTGGTGATTTTTGTCCCAATAATTCATCAGCATTTCCAGATGATTTGCAGACATTTTTTTTAAAAAGAAGTTATCCAGTGTTGGTTTCTTTTGTTTTCTAAAATTTTCCTTACGTGTCTAAACAGATCATCATCAAATGAATTGATACGCATACTAACTATAATGATGCTTGGGTGTCATTTCTCGATTAAAAACCTGAATTTTTACCCAAGTGACAGTTTTTTCATAATTTCAGTACTTGGAACTGGCCCATACTCTTCTTTGTCCTCGTCTGATGACTCGCTGGCTCAATGGGCCTAAGCCTTGTTCAAGTGTGCTATGTTATTGTTTTTATCATGTGCCAGATGGTGAATCAATGTAATATATATTTCAAATATGTAAATATTAAAAAATATAAAACCTGTAAATGGTTGAGGGGACCCTTTAGATCTCTTGAAAATCTTTTTTTTTTTTTTAGACGGCTGAATGGGGTTTCTGAGATTTGTTCATGTAAGATTCTCATCCTTGTGGTGTTAATCTTTTAAACTGCAGTCCTGTTTCTGGGACTTGCGCCCCGAGGGATTCTCATCCAAATGGTGGCACTTTGTGTCAGTGAGTGTTTGTCCATCATTGTGTGGTCCTGGGAGGGTTGAATGTCAGTCAGTCACTACAAAACATAAGACAACACTCACCAGGTTAGCTATTCTGTCTGTAGTCTTCCATCTTCTGACGTTGCTGCCAAAATTTGCTCCTGCCAAAATTCCACAAAATATTTCCACCATCATAGCCAGACCATATCCCTTATAGCCACCTTTAGAATAGAGAAGCATTAGGATATATGGTCATCACACTATCATCAACATTGTCATTATCATTCTGTTGTGCCTTTGCACATCACATAAGGCTTGCAATTTGTTATTTAATTATGTTCTATCATGTGCAATTAACACATGTCAGTTTGTCTCTCTGTCTGTATGTGTGGGTCTGTATGTATGTGTTTGTATATATGTATGTATGTATGTATGTATGTATGTATGTATGTATGTATGTATGTATGTATGTATGTATGTATGTATGTATGTATGTATGTATGTATGTATGTATGTATGTATGTATGTATGTATGTGTGTGTGTGTGTGTATGTATGTATGTATATTTGTGTGTACGTATGTGTGTGTGTGTGTGTATGTGCGTGTATGTATGTGTATGCATGTATGTATGTATGCACACGTATATGTGTGTAAGTGCATGTATGTGTGTCAATAACACAACTCCACGTGTGGATTTGGGGCCCAATTTTTGGGTTGGAGGTTTGGAAGATAAGACCCACCACCTCTCTGACAAGCATTTCGTAAGTGCGGAAATAACAGGGGATCTCCTGAAACCTGATGTGTTGGCCCTACAGGTGCATAGATTAGAGTAGGGTAGAGGTGTGAGCAATGTTGTAGATCGTAATTCATTAGAGTTGTGAGTCTTGGACACTTTTTAACAAAAATTAGGAGCATGATAGAGTTGTGAGAACGGAATACCTTGTTGTGCATTAAAGTGGTGAGCACTGGACACTTTTTTTGTAGATTAGAGTGGTGAGCACGGGACACATTGTTGTAGAGTGGTGAACACTGGATACTTTGTTGCAAACGTTAACTCAGTGTGCAAGCGACTCTTCTTATTGTGAATAACAATGATCGAGCAGACGAAGACTGTGTTGGGGTGGAAGTTAGATCTGGAAGTTGTTGCAATGTCATCATTTCTGAGCCAAGATTCTGTTCTAGGAATTTACAGACACCAGCATGCTGGCCTATACTAATGAAGCTGAGGCTGTTCAGAGAGCCAAAATGGAGCCTACAAATTCAGGTCTCTATTAAGACACAAAACCTTGGAGACTATTAGCGATCTGGTCTCTTGCATGCAGAGCAATCTACACAGTGATCTCTTGATATATCCGGAAAAAGTGAATCCGTTCAGCCGAAGAATGTGTGCACAATTTTATGATGGATCCACCTCGTAACATGACATTGCTTGCAGATGCCTTCATTGGACATTGTCCTGTTTGTGTTCAACTGTCATACATCCAGCCCTGCTAGACAGCAGCCATTTCACTGATGTACCTGTTGGTAATAGATCTGACCATGTATCTGTCCCAACTGTAGGCAAATAGCCTTTCAAACCACTTGTTAAGACATATCTCTATAGTAGTCACACACTGGATAGACTCTACATTCATTTACAGCTAAGTTAGTTGTCGGCATTTAGTAGAGCTGTGAGCACTGGACACTTTGTGGTAGATTAGAGTATGGTAGAGTCGTGAGCACTGAATACTTCGTTGTAGATTAGAGTTGTAAGCACTGAACATTTTATTGTTGATAAGAGTTGTTAGCACTGTGCACCTTGTTGTAGATTAGAGTAGGGTAGAGTTGTGAGCACTCTGTTGTAGATTATAATTCATTAGAGTTGTGAGTATTGGACACTTTTAAACAAAAATTAGAGTATGATAGAGTTGTGAGAATGGAATACCTTGTTGTGCACTAGAGCTGTGAGCACTGGACACTTTGTTGTAGATTAGAGTGGTAAGCACTGGACACTTTGTTGTAGATTAGAGTGGTGAGCACTGGACACTTTGTGGTAGATTAGAGTGGTGAGCACTGGACACTTTTTGGTAGATTAGAGTGGTGAGCACTGACCACTTTGTGGTAGATCAGAGTGTGGTAGAGTTGTGAGGAGTGGACACTGTGTTGTATAGCAGAGTGTGGTAGAGTTGTGAGGGGTGGACACTGTGTTGTAGATCAGAGTGTGGTAGAGTTGTGAGGAGTGGACACTTTTTAGATTAGTCATATAGTGTTGTGTTGGCGGTGACCAGGTTTGTGCTGATATTTCATGTTGTGCACCCAGGCACCGACACGAAACCCTGTATTGTGTGTTGGTAGATACTGACAATAATCAAATACTGACAGCTCACTCACCCACTCACCAAACACTGCCAGTTCACTCGTTCACCCCACTGATAGCTCATTCACTCACCAGACTCTTACTGCCCTCTCACTCACCAAACAATGCCTTTAAAAACACAATCTGGCAGACTTGTCTTGTGTGCAAACGTGCCCTACCTGACTGTACAAGTGCCTTATAAAACAAAATCTGGCAGACTTATTCTGTCTGCAAACGTGCTCTACCTCACTGTACAAGTGCCTTAGAAAACAAAATCTGGCAGAGTTGTTCTGTCTGCAAACGTGCCCTACCTCACTGTACAAGTGCCTTAGAACAGAGATGACAATATTGATGTGTTGTTGTTTTTTACCTGCATTTTTCTAGACACCGTTGTTTTCATCCTTTGATGAATTTGATTCAAACAAAAATGTCTGTCATACAGTTTAAAAAAAAAGAAAACAATATAACATGCTGATGTATCACTACGTTACACCCTCAACTGAATTATACTCAACTACAACAATAATTAAACTATTGCTAGTAAACACACATATAGCCAATGAAATTTGGGGTTAGTTTCAACGCCCTGTTGGTAGTGGGGTAGGGGTATCAAAGGAGAAGTTAGTCACCTCCATCCCTCCGTTAGCCTACGGGACACCTTTGGGCAAGGTGGAGTACTTGTTAAGTCCCTCTATCAGGGTAATGTGAAACCATAGGAACAAATGGTGGACTGAGCTTGTGAGCAACTGCCAGATAGTTTGGTAATGGTCTCAAGTTTACCTTAACGGTAGGCAGGAGATTGCACTTTAGTGACAATAGCTACAGTCACCCAACACGTATAGTCACTGCTAAGAAGGAAAGCAGTGGCAAACTACTTTCTTTAGGCTGCCAAGAAAATTCATCATTTAACAGCATTCAAATCTTCAGCTAAATGGAGCTGAAAAACATTTACTCGAGGCAGAGATGTGGTTTCTAAGAAGAATGCAGTGAATATCACGGAAGGACGGGAACATACGAAGCAGTTATCATCGAGACAGATGAAAGACGTAAACTTATTAGAGCAATTAGGCATAAAAAGTTAATATTTTTGGGGGGACATATTATGAGAAGAAATGGACTAGAGAACTTGGTAACACTAGCAAGATTGATAGAATAAGAGCAAGAGGAAGACAAAGAGAGGAATACCTGTATGGTCTGACCATTTGGATGGGGCATGACAAAAACATTGAACTGATCTGTGATTCTGGTGATTGTGTGAGATGGTGAAACATGACAGTCTATGCTTACTGGCACAGCACATGATGATGATGCAATCCGACTGCAGCCAATATTACAAACATGGCATTCTAATAATGTGAAACATGGTCATACTTACTGCATTCCTCTGTCCCACCAAGAGGCATCAAACCTGTTGCTTCCGACGGATTCTTTGTTGCCTATAAATGTGAAGAATACAGTGTTTTATTTTCTTCCCTTTTTCTGCTTCAGATATTTCCTTTCAAATATTATATGCTTGTGTGAAAGTTTATTTGCTCTGGGCACAAGAAAAATAGACATGCTTTGTGTGGGTAATTTTGAAATTCCATTTTGTCATCGTTGTGTTGTTTTTGTCATTGCCACTGCTGCTGCTGCTTCTTTTTTTTTCTTTTTCTTCTTCTTCTTCTTCTTTTTCTTATTCTTCTTCTTCTTCTTCTTTTTCTTATTCTTATTCTACTTCTTTTTCTTCTTCTTTTTTCTTCTTTTTTTCATCTTTCCCTGGGACCTGATCTCAAGTGAACATTTTTAATTATAACTTTAATCCCCTTGTTGGGTTCCGGGGCCCCATTGTGGGGAAAACAAGAATAGACCCACTGCCTCCCCAAAAGCATGTCGTAAGAGTCGACTAATTGGGGAGCTTCCTTTGAAGACGGAGTGCATCTGCCGAAGAGGCAAGGAACCAACAGTCTGTATTCAAGAGAATGAGATCTGTAAAACTGATGCACACGCAGCACTCAGGTTCTGGAGCAGGACTGCAGTTCAGTAGTGGACGAGCAACCAGAACTTTCCGCCAGAGTGTACAGCTGGTGAACGCGAAGAAGAAGATAACTTTAATCCTCTATGTCCTCTGATATTTTAAAAAGACAAAAACCTCATTCACTCATATTCACACAATCTCACATTAGCATCTTTTAATAATAATTATTTTTATAATTATTATTATTATTATTTGTTCAACTGTTTCAATCATTTGACGCATCTTTTCACATTATCTCAACCTCAGTACCCCTCACACAGGACTGATTGCAGAATTCTGTATTAAATGTGTGACCTCTTTAAACACATGGAGTATTCTTCTGTAGTTTAATGTCTAGCACTTAGTCAGACAAGAAGTGGAAAAATTGCAATTCATTCATTAGATTAAATGATGTGTCGTGTCCCAATTGAAGGCTGGCTACAGTGCATTCATAGCCCTCTTTGGGAGATATCAAATAATGAGGTCAGAATCGTTTTGATGGGAACGGCTGTCAGAAATTTTAAAAAAAATAGATCACCTATTGTGGAAATCTTGTTCCCTCCAACTTTTCAACTGTCACGATGTAATAAAGTTCCCTCCTTCTCATCACATGACCACAGAACATAAATTGTCTCCTTGACTGTGGGCAGTCAGTTTTCTTCAGGGTTCCGTTTCTTTCAAGACACCTTCATTACTCTTATCTGTCAAGGGTATTTTAATAAAAAAAATAAAGGACCCTTTTCCCCACCTTTAGGCGTCTAGGGCTAGACCTATATTTTTATAGACCAATCGGCACAAGTTGGGTGAAGTGGTCAGCATCACACCTGCTGCCTTTACTTTTCCGGGACTGCACCCGGGACCCACTCAAGGCTGGGTCGACCTGGGAGCCACGGTCATTTTTGAAAAAAAAAAGTCCAGCTACGCCAGAGAGCAAACCCACGACCTTCCGATCCCCGAACTAGCCGCTCGGCCACGGCGACTCCCGGCATTATCATTATTTGTCTAAAATGATGTTTCCGCCACTTCAAAATTATTTTTTACTTATTGCCTAACTGTCCATGATTCACACCCGATTATCATGAAGAATATCTATAGTTCTTGATATGTCAAACTTACCTTTCCTGAACTGTCACAGCCCCACCCCAGTGGAATCTCTAGTCCTTTCCTTTCATTCAATTCTAACTGAAAGTTGATAATAACAAGTAATCAGACATTAGGACATGTATACTTTTGCTGACTTTACTTTATCGGTGCTATTGCTGGCGTATATGCCCCCCCCCCTTTCCTGCTTGTCATTTCAAATAGAACATAGACCCCTTGGCAACAATTTGTAACTTGTTTCCTCTTCCCCCTCCCCCATTTATCCTCTGTCCTCTGCCAATGAATCACAAACTTTGTGTCCCCCCCCCCCCCCCCCCCATACTGCTGAATGGCAAAAGTGGAAATTGATGATGATATTTATGATGATGAATCATTTGATTTGGCAATACCAAGGCCACAGTTGAATGTTCGACAAAATAAAGCAGGCTAGATTAAAAGTTGATGCTGTGTATAGCTCGCAAATGATGCTATCAATATCCAAACCACCCTTTAATACTTTAAGGGATTAGTGATCTTTTCTCCAGGCCATGACGGCGTGGTGGGTATAAAGGCAGACAGATTGGCTCGATCTGCACCACTAGGTGGTGAATTGATACATGACAAGGCAGATGTGGTCAAGCCCCTTTGACTCAACTCAACTCAACTAAGGGATTAGTGAACATTAGTAAATATCCAAGTAGAAAAGAAACTGAACAATACAATGTGAATATCTGAATTGCCCGAAAGACTTGATTATAATTATATACCCTAAACCAGCCATGTCAAACTGGCGGCCCTTTGCAAACATACCTGCGGCCCACACAAAGTAAATATTTTGCAATAATCTTTATTAAATGACTTCAATTAGTTGTCACGTGTAGCCCTCATGACAATACAAATATGACCCACAGCGTCCTCTGGTGACCATGAATTTGACATGCCTGCCCTATACAGTACAGAATGGCGAAAGTATAAATTAGTAAAAGTAAGTTAGCAAAACATTTACATCCATGCTTTTAGATGCTACATATTATTTTTGAAATTCAGAAAAGTTTTTTTTGGGGTGTGTGTGGATAAAACCTACAATTATTACTGGAAGTCGCGGTGGTCTAGCGTCTAGACGCTCGCCAGCAGATAGGAAGGTCCTAGGCTCGAGTGCCGATGGTACCAGATATTTTTTTTTAAATTACCTTGGCTCCCAGGTCGACACAGCCTTGAATAAGTACCCCGTACCTGGGAAGTAAAGGCAGTCGGCGTGTTGCTGACCACATCACCCACAGAAGGCTGATTGGTCTATAAAATATAGGTCTAGCCCTGTGTACCCAATATACCTGAAGGCATAGAAAGGTATCTTTACTTTACTGCCACTGCTGCTAAGGTTGCAGCAGCACCAGCAGGTAAAACTAGTAAGTGATTTATTGTTGTAGTTGCTGTAGTTGCAAAGCCACATGACAGTTAGTTATAACTTGTCAGAGAGTAGCTTCCCAATTTCAAAAACAATTTGGTCTCGAGGCATGGTGTCCGCCTCAAGTGCTATAGGTTCCAGGTTCAATCCCGGGTAAAGGCTGGGATTTTCCACATGGACATTGACTTCTAGTAATTCCTCCTGGTCTCTGGGTGGTCAGATCAGACATCCATGTGCATTGCTGTGCACGTAAAAAATCCCTTGGCAGTTGGAAATTGAAAAGAGTAGCCAACAGCACTGCTAGGGCAAAATTTGGAGATAAAAATCTACTCAAAGTATTTCAGGATCCTTGCTACAGAGCCTGTGCACTGTGCTGAGCTTCTTCGGACTCAGACTTGAGTTAGAAGTAGAACGGAGCACTTATGGGTTACTACCCATGTGCCATGATGTTGATTCGTTGTTCAAAACCTAAAACCTCAAATCTTTCAAAAACAATTAATATTACAATTACTCATATATCTATAATACGGTAAGCAGGTGAACACCCAGAATTTCCGCCGGAGTTTACAGCCGGTAAATTATAAGAAAAGGAGAAGGTGGATTTGAGGCTGAATGTTGAATCCACATCAAAGCACTGGGACACTCCCACAAGCGCTTCGCCCCTATCTTCAGCAGCAAGCAAAGAGTTCCAACTCCGATGGTACCAGTAACTGTCTGACTGTATATCTGCGTCACCTTTTCCTTGAGTGTTGAGCGTCGGCCAGATCCCCTGGTAACTCGTAGCTGCACCAATCTCCTCAGTCCAAAATGATCCACACTGTTCACTGGTTCACAAAGAGCCCTCACAACATCTAGCTTGTCACCATAAAGTGGTGCCAAAACTGGCCAGTCTATCTACCTGCTCACTTCTCAACACACTGACATGACCTGGAGAAAACATCCAAAGGATGATAACTACCCAGGACCTCTGAAGTGATGCTCGCCACTTTGCAACGAGCATGAAATATGTTCAATAATCTTAAGCCACAAAGCTGCAACGATCATAATTTATTTACTGTTAATTTGACACAAAAGACAGACTGTGTAGCACAGTACCTTTCCCAGAGCCACGGCTGTGGTAGCCATGTCCAGGACAAAACTGTCCCCATTGTTGGCGGCTGCAGCACAAGATAATGGGTTGGTGCCCAGAATTGGCTGCAGATAACATAATTAGTAAAGCTGTTTTGTGCTAAATATAAACGATCACAATCATCGGCATTGACAACTGACAGAAAGAAAACACTGGAGTTAAAAGAAAAAAAAAGGGTGGGGGGGGGGGGGGGGGGGGGGGGCTTTTTGGCTTTATTACAGACTTTCTAGTGGCGATAAGAGCCTAAGACATATTAAAGTGCGTAATAATACTGTGCAGAATTGCAAATCTTCTTCTTCTTTGCATTCACCGGCTGTAAACTCCGGCAGAAAGTTCTGGTTGTTCAACTATCTTTAGACATTTGACTTGTTCCAGAACCTGAATGTTGCGTGCACATCTATTTGGCAAATCTGACTTATTTGTATGCAGACTGTTGGTTTCTTGCCTCAGGCAGATGCACTCAGACTTCGCAGGAAGCTCCCAATTATTTGATTCTTACGACATGCTTGTTGGGGAGGCAGTGGGTCTATTCTTGTTCCCCCCCCCCCCCCACAATAGGGCCCCAGACCCCACATGGGGAAGAATTGCAAATGAATAAAAAATATTTCAAATAGTATGAAAAGTATTAATGTAAACTTACAAGTAGACATTTTATGTGTGCTTATGAGGGCTGCTTAGCCCTCTATAATGTTTCTTAGGGGGGGGGGGGGGGGGGGGGGGGGGGGGGGGGGGGGGGGGGGGGGGGGAGAGGGATCCAAGTGAGTGAGCACCCAGTTTCCTGTGATCAAAGTCTCACAAGGTTGCTCGCTTTGATTATTATGTATTAATGTAAAGGTTAAACAGCATGAAGAACTTACAGCATAGCACCTGCAAGCAAGTTAAAGTGAAGATGTCGAGATCAAGAACATTTTTCGCCAAAAACCTGTCTTGCTGCAGAAAGGCAATTCTCTTCTTATTGTTCATGAACAGCTGAACTAAATTCATGTCCTAACGAACTCTTTAATATATGCAATGTAACCCCCTACTCGCAACATCCAGTAAAACACTGCGTAGCTCACTGCCCACATGATGCACAATATAGAAAGCTTTTCGCGAACATAAAACAACACAACACCCCTCTAACATAGACTAGTCCGTTGCACAGGTGAGAAAGCATGAATGAAGTAAGTAAGTAAATTATACCCCACCAGGACATCACACAATCGATAAACACCTGGTGACACAAAGTGCCACCGCGCGGATGAGGATCACCCGTGGAGAGGTCCCGGAAACCCTGTTCAGCCATTTAAGCCATATTTATGGCCCAGCTATTTTTAGGGCCCATGGAAAAAGCCAGGGTGTGGCTTCAAATAACGAAAAATGTTGTCTAACATAGAGACGAGCATGAATGAAAGGCCAGTTATGTTCTATTTGGGCTGGACATTGTAACACGTTCTAGGTCACAAATTTGGCATGCAAGCCTGACTTACATTCGATCCTTTAAAACATGCATCTTTCACACAACAATAGTATTTTATCTGTAAAGCATGTTTTGTTCATATCTTCTTCTTTTTCTTTGTTCATCTTTTGTAAGCTCCAGCTGATGTCCTGGTTGTTTATCCTTTTAGACTTTGGTTATGTGCCGGGGCTCAAGTTTTGCACGTTCTTCTGTTTCACTGGCTTTTTTTGTTTGGTATGCACTTTGTAGTTCCTTGTCACTTAGGCGGATGCACTCCGACTGTGAAAGAATCTCCCAATTATTTGACTCTTACAACGTGTTTGTTGGGAATGCACTGGGTCTATCCTTGTTTTCCCCACAATGGGGCCTGAAAACCCTCACGGAGATTTGTTTTCATATAACAATATACATAATTTGAATAACAAGTAACATACACAAAAGCACAGTGGTGTCAAGCTAGACCAATCCCTTCAGGAGCAAGTGAACAAGTCTGAAGCACGAGAAGATAATTATGTTGTTCAGAGAAAGTGGTTCACCAGTGGATATAGCCAGAGGAAATGCAAGACATTACACATAGTTTTAAAATAAACAAACAAACATGTGTTGATTGACCTCGCTGAAAATAGTAGAAAAACAAAACAACACACTAAAGAACATACAAATATAAAGCTTTAGTTAAACATGCAAGCATCGAACCTGACACATCAAAATGATGACATTCCCTCACTGCAGGTATGAATATACTAAGAAGCATGACCAGCTAGGCACCCCTAAAAATGTGACTTCAGTGGTCATGTCTATTGTTCAGCTCAAATCCCCAGTTACGAATTATGGAAAGAAGTCTTATCAAACCATTAAAATAGCACCATATGTTACAGAAATTCACATTACACAACTGCATGTTTGATAACAAAGGCAGTAACAATTATAAACACAAAGGGCCTGAATGCTGTGTCTAGAATACAACAGACATTTAAAGAATCAGATCCTATTGGTATCATCGGAACTGAAACTCTTCAGGGGTTGCTGAAGATAAGGATGGTGCATTTTTAGGAATGTCCCGAGTGCTGGGAGCCTGTTTCTTAAGTCAGTTGATTGCTCATAAATGATGAAATTTAAAATATAATTATGAAGGTACATACCGTTTTTCCTCTAGTTGGCACCATGAGAGGTGACGTATTTGTGAACGCCAAACCCTGCAGATATATTAGCAATCAATGTGTTATTTTATACATGACTCCCTATATATAAGCCGTCCTCTTGTGGGATGCAGTTTTTCGTTTTTCTGAAACCCCACCGTGGCTGTTGTTGGGGGCCCTAATATAACCTAATGGTTGAAAGGGGTTTCTGGGACCTCTCCACGGGTGATCCTCATTCACATGGTGGCACTTTATGTCACCGGGTGTTAATCGCTCTGTATGATGTCCTGGTGGGGTAAAATTTACTTACTTACTACTCCCCCAGTAAGTCGGAAAAAAAAGACCCCTTTAAAAAAACTCATCGAGCATATGACATTTTGGCACCCGGTGTAAAATATGGTTAATGTCAGGCTGGCCACATTTACCTCCCAGCACATTCTTCCTCTTCTTTTCTTCTTCATTTCCTCTTTTACCACTTTGGATGTCGAGGAAGATATTAGGTTCTGCTTCTCGCTCTTCTGGTCGCTTCAAACACAGATACTTCGTACTGCTGCGTATTTTCTCTGATATTGTCCCTCCATTTTTTTCTTGGTCTACCTTGTGCTTTATGTTCTTCTACTCTTTTGTTCTATGCCTTGTATGATATGGCATCACAGGTCATCGTGGTGAGATCGGACGTCCATGTGTATTGTTGAGCGCGTTTAAAAAATCCCTTTACAGTTTGAAATCTAAAAGAGTAGCCTAATGATGCTGCCTGGGCAAAATTTTGAGTTGAAAATCTACCCAAAGTGCTACGGAGTTCTTGCACTGCGCTGAGGTTCTTCACACTCAGGCTTGGGTTAGAAGCAGAACGGAGCACTTTTGGGTTTCTACTCTTGTGCCATGATATTGATGCGTTGTTCAAATCATGAAACCATTTGATCTGCTGTCTTTGTTAATGTAATTTAGAATTATTTCTGTGCTGACTTTTTCTTGTAAAACCTTATTTCTTATGTTACCTTTTATAATAACTCCAACAACACTTCTCGGACATCTCATTTCCACGGTTATATTCTTTCACGACCAGCTCCAACAGTAATTAATAGCAACAAATTTTTTAAAAATATTTTTTTATTATTATTATTCTATTTTCTAATGGCTCACTTATTTACCTTCATAATAATAATTCATTTAATAAAATATGTTGCAAATTAATTAAACTGTGGTTTAATTTGTGTATAAATTTACTCGATAACAATGATAAGTTAACTCAGTGATTCTCAAATAGGGTGTCACGTTACCCACGGGTTGCCATGAGCATATGTCAGCGGTCTGGTTCTTCTGCCTTTATATCCCCAAATGGAGCATAGGCCCTCAACCAACTCACGCTAAGTCGTTCTATCCTTCGCTATTACATGGAGCTCTCCTCATGTCCTCCTCATCTTTTTAACTTCATTCTCCAGCTCTCTTCTTCATGTGCTTTTTTTTTTTTTGACCTACTTTTTTCACTTCTTCTTGGGTGGTGCCCACTATAGTGCCATCTTTTTGTTTTTGTTTTGTTTTATAACTATTAATAACAGCCATTGTTCAGACATGTATCCTATTTCTTCACCTCTCTTGTATTCTCCCTACTGATTTTATCTGATGCTCTCTCTCTACCCCTCTTTTTCTCCTCTCTCTCTGTGTTTGTATCTTATTTTTTTGTGTGTGTTTAACTGATAACGTTTGCCTGCCTCTGTTGCACTTTAGGATTATGATCTTTGGTAAAAATCCTATGCCCTCTACATACAGTACATAGGTTATGTAGATATCCTATTCTTGCATTTTCATATTTCTCATACTAATGCACACAAACTTACAATGAGTCCTTGTTCCATAGCTCTCAGCGAGTACCAACCAGCAATGCCAAAATGATTGGAACCTGGGCAGTAAATACAGATAGTAAAAGTAATCAAAGTTAAGAGAGATCATAAACTAGCATTAAGGTGTATTACATTATTTAGTTAGTCTGTAGATCATCCTCGCTGCACATCGACCAGTCAGTCCATTAGTGCTCATATCTACTCTTCAGCCTGTTGCAGATAATGACAACATTTCCATGTTGGTTTATTCTTCTTTTTTTTTTTGTTGCTTCCTGCCTATTGCCCTTTTCTGTCCTCACTAATTTTTACTTTGCAATGTATATTACATATTCAGTACAAATCTAATATGTTTAAAGGCCAGTCGCAACTCAGTGTTTACTGGGGTCAACAGCACGCTGGTCATCTTTACTGAACATGTGTCATTTGTCATTTATCATTTGTCATTTATCATTCGTCATTTTTCATTTATCATTTGTCATTTATCTGGTTGTGCAGACCTTTTTAACATCAGATGCAGTAAAGCAAACCAAATATCGAGACAGCTATGCACCCCCACTCTCCCATCTTACAGTGTTAGAGAATCACAGTCTGCACAAACAAACATCTCATACAAGGCTGATTCATTCCAGCTGTAGACTACTAGTGCCAGACATGGTGACTCCCATCAAATTAACACAAAAGTACGTATAAAGACAGCAAATCAAATGGTTTGTCCACATAGAAAGAATGACCTGTGACACCATACCATACAAGACATTCGCTAAAAGAGGAGATGGGCAAAGAGCTCCAGGTGTCCCAAGTACAAGATGGAAAGATAAACATAAGAGAAACTCTACATCAGCACGATGTGTCTGTGGTCGAAGCAGTAGAAGAGCAAGGAAAAGAACTTTATATCTTCCACAATACCTGATGTGGTAAAAGAGGAGGTAAAGAAGAAAAATAAGAAGAAGAAGATCTTGGTCAGTTGACACAAATTCCCATTAGAAACAGATTTGAAAACATGGTCACACGGCTAGTGACAAAATATGTGTGCTGTCTCCGCAATGAGGGTTGGCTATAGTATAGTACACTGTTCTTTTAAGGGGGCCCAATTACATGCTGAGGCCCCAATACTTCAAATATCAACAGATAAAAACTCAGACATGAGTCAAGACCACCACCAGCTAGTGCACCATAGACAGCCCTGTTACTTGGACCTAATGAAAGCACAGCCAGAGGCTCTGAATTAGTTACAGAGGGCGGGCCCATGGATCATGCAGACAGTGTTAATGACATTAGAGGGTTAGGATGTTTTGGGAGCAGCACATCCACATCTTTGCTTAGAGTGCAAAAATTGGGAGTAAAGATTTGCACAACCAGGCACAAGAAGCACACGGAACGCATGAGAAGTCTTGTCAACCATCATAGGACTGGGACTATCAACCGCTTGACGCTGATGTATGTGTTGAAGAGGGAATCTGAGCACCAACGGACGTGTTCAGAGTGCCATGAAGATAACCCAAATCATATCTCATAACAATCAGAGATTGAACAGATAAGTGATGGATAAGGTGATGGATAAGGTGATGGATAAGGTGATGGATAAGGTGATGGATAAGGTGATGGATAAGGTGATGGATAAGGTGATGGATAAGGTGATGGATAAGGTGATGGATAAGGTGATGGATAAGGTGATGGATAAGGTGATGGATAAGGTGATGGATAAGCTATGAAGAGAGGGCAAAATACTAGAACATACTCTACGTAGCGCATAATAAGCTGCTGTAGTGTAGTGACTAGATACTCGCCTGTGGATCTAAAAGTCGTGGGTTCAGATCTAAAAGAAATTACATTTTTTGGGGGGTAGAGATGACCTTGGCTCATAGCTTGAGACAGACATAAATTGATACCAGGAAAAGTCATGGGAAGGAAAGGCGGTCGGCGGTATGTTGACCACATCACCTGTAAAGTGCCGATTGATCTATAAAATATAGGTCTAGCACTATATGCCCATCAGTGTCTGTGTCTTAGGCGTTGCGAACGCACTTCATAATGCCGGGGTGCCGGGTTCAATCCCAGCTGCAGGTCTTGCGCCTTGCATTGGTTTTGACAGTGGTATCGAGAATCTGACCGCTCAAAAAAGCAATGGCAAACTACTGGACGTAAATTTGCCTAGAAAAACCACAACAGCCAAAAAATGCTGGGGTTGGTTCTGCAATGGCCTGTAAAGGATACGCAACTAACTTTAACTAGTTGTATGCTCAATACGCCTGAAGGCGGGGAAAAGGGTCCTTTACTTTTGTTAAACATAGCCATACCATAGGACAGCTAACTGCAAGGTCATTAGTCAGAATTATCGTTTTCCACCCCCCCCCCCCCCCCCCCCCCCCCCCCCCCCCCCCCCCCCCCCCCCCCCCCCCAGCCCCTAAACCCCCAAAAAATAAACATTGCTGGCCGACTTACCGTTGGCAGATACCCATCCTACTCCAGCTTCTTTTGCTTTCTTTATTGCCAGGTCAATGCAGAATTTCCCAATGACTGGACCTACAATAAACAGGGTGTGTTATACATCGTAAAGCTGAGAAAACGAAAGTTATCATTGTAAAAGGTATGCATCACTAAGTTTGTTGAGAAAAATATTAATTAAATTTGATATTGAAAGAATCATCACTATAACACACCAGGTGTAGCGATGTCTGAGCCCTTCTTCCGTAGCGAATGTTGTAAGACGTAGATACATAACAGTTTCAGTTGCACACTGGGTGATGTGGTCAGCATCACGCTGGCCGCCTTTACTACACAGGGCCGCACCTGGTACTCACTCAAGGCTGAATCAAACCTTTAGCCAAAATCATTTTTTTTTAAAGTTCGGCTTTTTTTTAGGACCCGAACCCATGACTGTCTGATCCTCAAGCGAACGTCTCGCTGCTGCACCATGGCGACTCCTCTATATTTGAATACATGTGAAAATTACACTGCAGAAGATTAAATATTACTAATCCTAACCTTAAATCTGTGACGCTCAATGGATATCCCAATGGAGGTAAGATATCACTGCACAGACAGGTGGCTGACTCAATTACAACAGACAGTGAGGTTTATGTAATAGGCTGGAAACAACGAAGACTACTGTTCAGCAGCGCAACGATTTGATTTAATCTAATTTAAAAATGACCAAGAGGCCACAGGAATTTTAATCTTGGACAGTAAAGTGGGGGGAAAATCTGGCCACTGGGTATAAAAAGGAACTGACTCAGTATTTGGCCTCTGTTTGACTTCTGGAGGCACCCTGTGGAGACCTACCCAGCTGTTGTAGCTCTGCACTTAGGGCTCGCCAGCATGGGTATGGGCGACCACAGGGGAAGGCCGGTTGTCTGACTGATTTCCCTGGCTGATCTCACGGCAAGTTTCAATTGGTTAGGTGGTGGTAGATTTGATTTCCATTGTATATCCTCGCTAAGAGAAAGTTTGATGGAGGCCGCTATAAGTGATTTGTTGGTCCGCTAGTAGCTGTCAGTATTTTGTTATTCATTGGTTTACCAGTTGCTTGGTTAGTTTTCTGCTGGTCTGCTCATTTACCTTCTAGTTGTTCTTTAGTATACTTAGTGTTCAGAGTGTGTCATCAAGTATTATTGTTTTATGTCATCCAGTAAATAAATTTTCTGTATTTGTTGACTTACATTCTTGTTATTTAAGTTAGTGTGCCTAGGTTTACTGCTACACACAGAAGATTTCCTGTCAGGGTGAGATATTTTTGATCTTATCCCGCCTAAACAAACTTTTCTCTATTTTTCTTGTTACTGGGTTAGCTTATGGTTGGGTTTTGGGCTCCCACTTGCTACGTGACATTGTTAGAACTCTTGTAGGTTCGGAGTTGAGGAGATTTCAAGTAGCAGATTTCCATATTATCCTTTATAGTTATCTCTTCTCTTTCCCCCATCATAAGAAACCCCCTTCTGCTTTGCTTCTAGTACATTTATACTAGAGACAACATTGCAGCTATAGATAAGCTATTTCAAGCTAAGGAAAGAAGAAGAAGAAGAAGAAGAAGAAGAAGAAGAAGAAGAAGAAGAAGAAGAAGAAATACATAGACTAAGCCATTCAGAGGAAACAAAAAAGAACATCAAACATTAAAAAAAGTTTAAAAAAAAAAAAGTTAACCAGCCGATCATCGTCATCACACACTGGACAAGTCCATAAGCACTCAGATCCCATCTTTAAATACCCATGTGGTGACTAATAACAGTTTTGTGTTGGTTTACTATTTTCTTTTGGTCACCTGTGTAGTAGTGATGTCTGGCAACACCAATTTTGACATGCAGTTTTTGTAATCATGTCAAGGTTGCCGACTCGCAGCCTTCTCCTGAATCATCTTCCCATCATGCTTTCTTAAAAGCATTGACAAAGTCAGCACCGTCCATTGCTTTTTGTGTGCTATAATGGCCCTGCCAGCAAGCCAGATGAGATTTTGTGAGAGACTTGTAGTGAAACTTCAATAAGTGTATAAATACTTGAAGAAGGTATATTGTTTTACATGGTGAAATGCATATTTTGTACTTGAATAAATGCATAATTTTGGACATGAAAAAATGCTAAATTCCCTTAAATTAACTCTTAAACTCCCAAGCAATACCAGTTGTGTTATCAGTAATAGTCCATGTGTAACACCATAACACAGTGTATTTTATTATATCTTTCATGTTTGTTCTCTATGTACTAAAGAAATCTGGCTAAATATGTTACCATACAGCCAAGTATATGTGCGCTCGCCTGCGGATCGGAAGGTCTTAGTTTCGGGTCCTGATGGAGTCGGACTTTTTCAAAAATGACCTTGGTTCCTAGGTTGACCCAGCCTTGAGATGGTACCACATAAAGTTATGGGAAGTAAAGGCTTTCGGTGGAATGCTGACCACATCACCAACTGAGTGCCGATTGGTCTAAAAAATATAGGTCTATCCCTATTTGTCCAATACGCCTGAAGATGTGGAAAAAGGGTCTTTATTTTTACTTTACTTCCAAGTATATGTTGTGTCTCTGAATGCAGTACACTGATGCTAAACACGAATCCGTACCTCTGGAGCAAAAATTCATATAAGACTCAATCTTGTTTCTTGAAGAAACAGATATGGGCGGACTGAGACCAGGTTTATGTTACTAATGTTTCCTACTTGTATTTTACGTTTTTCAACAGATAATAGTCCAATGTGTCACACTTAGAAGTTACTACTTACTGTTTTGTGGAGAATTATCAAACTAACAGGAATGGAAAGATAAATTATAATGGTGATAAAAATACATATGCTTTTAGTGTTAATGAAATTGCTGTTAATGATGATGATGTTGATGATGGTGGTTATGGTGATGATCATTTAACATTGAAAAAAATTAAATATACCCAAAACATTGTTTCCGTTGACCAATGCTGTTGCCACAGTCTCTTTAGCTATCTCAGGCTCTTTGTCACTAACACATATTTTGCTTTCTATATCATGAACATACATGTCTGGGGAATAGACATATATTAGCTCATTTATTCTGAACACATCTGGGGAGCATCAGTTTGAACATATATGAGGGACATACATTGAAAGCTCAACATCCACACCCCTACCTCACCCCAACGTTATATTCCTGGCCAATCCCACCCCCTTCCTTATTCATTTTATAGGCACAAATTAGGGCATCTTTAGATAAACTCACAGTTTAAGCTGTTTGTTTTTTTCAGTGGGTAAAACAGATAGGGAGTCTCTCAGAGCAGCTTAAAAGAGCCAGGGTGATTTCTTTGTGATTTATGTAAGTTTCCAACAGTCTACCCGAACGAGAGCTATAAAGAACGAATGCTCATTGATGACTTTGATCTTTACACGGCATTGAAAACACTAAAGCCTCCTGTCTGCTTGAAAATTCAGTGGAGAAAGTAGACAACTGGGCAAAGAATTGGGGTTTAAAATTTTCATTGACCTTTTCATCTTCCCAGATTCTTCTTCTTCTTCAGCATTCTGAGCCTTTGAGGTTCGTTGCTGCAGATATCATTAGCCTCATTCATCTCTCTGGTTGGCCATCTCGTTCCAGTTGGTGACACCAAGTGTTTGCAGGTTTGTCTGGATATTATCTCTCCATAATCTTCTTGGTCTGCCTCGTGGTCTATGACCATACATCTTCCTCGTGTAAACAGTTTTTATTTCTCTGTCATCTGACATTCTTTAAGTATGCCCCAACCATTTCCGTCTATTCTTCTTCCCAGATGTTAGTGTTTAATTGTGTTATAGAGAGGCATATGAATCACAGCCAATTAAGGCTAGTGATACAATTCATCATCTCCTGAGCACAAAACCTAGATATTATTGCACAGACCAGGTGTTGGGTATGCAGCGCATCCCCTCTTTCGACCTGCCTTGTTTACTCAAAAGGAAAGGTGACACCAATATGCGTGGAATAAAGCATGTTGCGGAAGCTGCCGGATCAAAAGAGTATGTTCTGTCTTTCCACCTAGCCCCAGCTGTCAACGAAGGCTATGGGTCTGGTCTGCCCTGCCGTAACTGTTTTCAGATTTCATTTTCTTGTCCTACAGTAACTAAAGTTAATTCCCTTCCCTATTTAATTCTCCATCAGAAATCATTGGCACAGTGTGAAATGTCAGGTTTGGTGATGACACCAAACTTTCTGTAATAACTGAGACAATATTACTGATTACTGTCATGCAGAAGCTCAGCCGTTTAAAACTAAAACCAAGAAAAGGAACATATAACAAACTCAGGCCAAGCTCCGCCCACCTACACACTTTTTAGTGACAAAGTCAGGCCAGGACACTGTGATCGGACGTTCATTCATGCGTGTTAACCTTTGAGATGCGTAAGTTTAAGTGTCAGGGATGTCAGGTAGGTTTGACAATGTATTGTCTTGACAGTCTTACCGCCGACCACACGGGCTCCATATTATAAGATGTAAGTGGTTTTAATGATCTCAGTAGTACAAATGGCCCTAACCCCAAACCCCTACCCTTCACACTGAACCTAGATCTGATGAGAGAGGGCATTCTACACCTCTGTAACGTAGACCAGCCTGACCAATCATCAGTGACAGGTCAGCTAGTGTGTAGCTGGGCAGAGCTGGGCCTGAGTTCGTTACTAGTTCCAAAGAAAATTTAGAAGCAGTGAACTTCGCACTACTATGGATAACTAGAACTGGGAAGGCAAAGCTTACGAAAGCTACAGGAAACCTCATGCAGCCGTTCCTATCTCAAAGCTTTAATATGCCAGAGACAATGTTAGTGATTAATGATAAGTGATGAGTGATTAGAAAGGATTATCATCACAGCCCTCCGGACAGATCCATAGGTGCTCCGATCTCCTCCTCAAAAGCTCCACAAGTGTAAAACGACTGATGACGTTCTATGTTGGTAAATCCATGAAGTTGATCTTGAGAGAAGGCAACAAAAACTACAGACCACAACATATTGTAAGGTGAGGAAAGAAAACTGATACAAAACAAAATTACCATTTTACCCTTCTGTATCCTCGATTGCTATATTTCAAGGCAAAGAG